TCTCTCTCTCTCTCTCTCTCTCTCTCTCTCTCTCTCTCTCTCTCTCTCTGTGTGTGTGTGTGTGTGTTGACAACTCTCAAAAAGCTGTTACAGAGATGAGCAAATAGGTACACAAATAATTAGTTACTAAAAGCTTTGTGATTATCTTTTGGGGGGGTAAAAACATTATCTGGTGTTTTTTTTTTAATTCTTTGGCATCTCTTGCTCTTTCAGATATCTTGAGAATTAATGCCTTAATGCATTTAACTTTAAAACTGTAAAGATGAAAATTTAATAGAGGTAAATGTACATTCTTTTACTTGTCTTCCATAAATCAGCTGTAAAAGTATAAGATGAGGGAGGCATGACTGGACAATAATCCATAACAAAAAGATCTGGAATTTTTGATAAACCACAAGCTCAATATGAACCAACAGAGTGACACCACTTGCCCTCACCCCTGCCCAGAAAAAAAAAAAAGCTTATATGATCCTAGGTTGCAATAGAAGGTATAGTGTCACTGTCAAAGGAGGTCCTGAGCCCTGCCGAGCCACACGTGGAATATTGTGTTCAGTTCTAGGCAGTAATTTTCAGGAAGGGCATTGATTGACAAATGGGATTATTCCATGTGGGAGGGACCAACCTGGATAGTGAAAGGACTGAAGAACATTCTATAGGAGGATTTATTGAAGGAACTCTTGATGCTTAGCCTAGAGATGGGAAGACTTGTTGATGATAAACATCTTCAAATATTTGAAAGAGTTGTTACACAGCAGCAGGAATTATTCTGGTTGATTCCCACAGGTAGAACTATAAGCATTAAATGAAAGCTGCAGAGAAACAGAATGACATGCTTTTTTGAAAATTGTTTTCAATTTTTTCCAATTACATGTAAAAATAATTTTCAACATTCATTTTTTTTAAATTTTGAGTACCAAATTCTCTCCCTTTTTCCTTCCCTCTTCTCCCCCAGTGAAAAGGCAAGCAATTTTATATATGTTACGTATGTGCAGTCATGCAAAACATTTCCATATTAATCCTGTTGTAAAAGAAAACAGACAAAAACAAACAACAAAGGAAGAAAAATTTTAAAAGTATGCTTCAATCTGCATTCAAACTCCATCAGTTCTTTCTCTGGAGATGGATGGCATTCTTCATCAGAAGTTTTTCAGAACCATCTCGGATCATTGTATTGCTCAGAATAGCTAAGTCATTCACAGTTGATCATTGTACAACGTCGCTGTTTCTGTGTACAATGTTCTCCTGATTCTGCTCTCTTCATTTTGCATCTGTTTGGGTAAATCTTTCCAGGTTTCTCTGAAAGCATCCTGCTTGTTGCAAAATGACATGATTTAAGGAACAATTTCTTGTAATTTAGAGATAGCTAAGAGTGGGATCCTTGAAATGCAATGAGTTCCCCATCTATGCAGGTCCTCAAGTGAATAATCACTTGTTGTGGATGCTATAAGAACTAGATCTGGGATGGGTTTGGGATTTTTTGGATGGGAAATTCCCAGTGAGGAAACTCACCAATAAATGTTTTACTGATTACTGATTTACTAATAAATGGTTACTGGTACAAATTACTGAAAATAAAATATTTTCATATGGTTGTG